CCTGTCTTATGGAAGAAGAATCTGTTGCCAGAAGACCACCAAAGAAAAGAGATGCAATGGGGAAAGGCATGCTTTTGAAAGGGTCTTTGCTCCATTGGCACTGATGTTGAATAAAAGAAAGAGGATCAAGAAGAGGCAGCACTGATAATATATGAGGACTGCACTGCTGTGGGAAAGCCAAGGGCAAACCTAATCCAAAGTAGCAAGGCCAGTTCCTTTCTATGTTTGACAATCGCTGATGTATTTCAATTCCTTTATTGAACCAATGATATTTGAAGCAGTACAGTGCTTTGCAGGGACATCTGCAGTAGATTAACCAGCTGACCAACAAGAAGGATGAGAAAGAGACTCAGAAACATCCCCTGGATAAGGAAAGAGCCTGCAGCAAAAGGCGAAGAAAACATCAGGAAGTACTTTGCTAACACCGGGGAATGGGCAAGGCTTCCTCTCTGATGCCTCAAATGCCAGGTCAGCTAGATCTTAAAACCAGATGGTACTCACAACTTTGCTAAGCACAAACAGGGGCAGCCCTCCAAGAGCACTGAAAACTGACAAGAGAATTCAGCCATGACCAAATATCTCCAGGTGGTGATGTATCACGAATAATTTGGGCTGTTACTGACTGAAGTACAGGAATAAATACTTGATAAAACAACAGGAGACTGACCCAGAATACTCTACCATTCCAAGCACAGTCCCGGAAAATTCTGCTAATAATACATAACTCACTCTCTTGCTTCTGCTCTGTACTTCAGGTTCTCTTCTGAGCCAAGAGACTACTTGCCCTCTGTGCTGCTCCACTCTATTTTGCTGGATTTTAGCATCTAGCTTGAGATAGTAAAAATGCCTCAGATGGAGTTTTCAATTCACCTGCCAAGGTTATGGAAAAGGGTTTTGAGGCCATCTGCCATCTGCTACCCAGATGTCTTATCAATTGCAGAGGAGCAAGAAGTGGCCCAAATTCTCAACATGAAGGACCAGCAGTTCCCTCACTCACCACCATCCTGACCAGCTTCTCTGGCTGTCAGCATACTCTGTGAGGGTGCTCCCAGGCCAGGGCCACTGTATCCACACTGGACATGGGCCAGAATGCCATGCTATTGATTCATTTCAAAGTATTTTCTAATTTTCCTTATGATTTCTTCTTTACCCTTTGGTTATTTAGGAGTGCTGGGATTATAGGCACACACCATCATGCCTAGCCTCACTTTAGTTTTGGTTTGCATTTCTCTAATGTCTAAAAAAGTTGTACATTTTTTATATACCTATTGACCATTTATACTCCTTCTTCTGACAAGTGTCTAATTCTTTTGCCCATTTATTAATTGGGCTATTTGATTTTTTTTGGTGTTAAGTTTTTTGAGTTCTTTATTCTAGATATTAATCCTGTTAGAAGAGTAGCTGGTAAAGATTTTCTCCTACTCTGTAGGTTTTCTCTTCATTGTATTGCTTGTTTCCCTTGCTATGAAAAAACTCTTCAATTTGATATACAGTATTTTCATTTAATGATTTTCACTGTTATTTCCTGTGCTACACAGTAGTCTTATTCAGGAAGTCTTTGTGCCCATGGTGTCAAGTGTTTTCCCTATGTTTTATTTTAGCTGTTTCAAAGTTTCAGATCTTACACCAAGGACTTTGATACATTTTGAATTGAATTTTGTACAGGATGAAAAGTATTTAATTTTAATCTTCTACAAGTAGATATCCAGTTTTCCCAGCACCATTTGTTAAAAAGACTATCCTCTCCAACATGTGTTTTGGTCTCTTTTGTTGAGAATCAGATGGCTATAGCTCTGTGGGTTTGTTTCTGTGTCCTCTATTCTATTCCACTAGTCTATGTGTCTATTTTTTGCCAGTGCCATTCTGGTTTGGTTTCTAAGGTTTTATAATATAATTTAAAATCAGGCATTGTGATGCCCTGAACATTTTGTTTGTTTGGTTTCTTTGTTTGTTTTTTTTTGTATCAGGGATCAAACTCAGGACCTTGCGCTTTCAAGGGAGGCATCATGCCACTGAGCTAAATCCCTGGCCCCCAACCTTGCTGTTTTTGCTTAGGATTGCTTCGGCTAACTGGGGTCTTTTTTGTTTTCATTTGAATTTTAGAATTGTTTTTTCCAGTTCTGTGAAGAACGCCATTGGAATTTTGATGGAGATTGTGCTTAATCTATATAGATTTCTTTGGGTGATATGAGCATTTTAACAATATTAAATCCATAAACACGGGAGGTCTTTCCATTTTCTGGTGCTTCCAGTTTCTTCAGTGTTCTGAAGTTTGGACTTGGTTACACTGATCCTTAGGTATTTCATTTTATTTGAAGCTATTATGGGTGGAACAGTTTTCCTGATTTCTTTCTCCACTAGTCTATTGTTGGTATATACTAAAGCTATTGATTTTTTAATGTTGATTTATTATCCTGTTGTCTTAGTTACTATTCTCATTGCTGAGACAAAATACCCAACACTCACAAGTTAAAGGAGGAAAGGTTTATTTTAGCTCAGTTTGTAGAGGTTTCAGTCCATAGTTAGCTGTCTCCAAGGCAAGGTGGTATGGCAGAGGGGCATGGAGGAGGAGAAACAGTCCATAGCAGGTCAGGCAGGAGGCAGCAAGGCAGTGAGGCAGTGCGCAGTGAGCTTGCTTTCTTTTCCCCTTATAGTCCATCCAGGGTACAAACCTGTTGGTGCCACCCACACCAAGGATGGGCTTCCCATTATCCACAACCAGAACTATGCTAAACCAATCAGTAGACTAATTTAGTTATCGCACACCCTTAATCCATATTCACATACCCTAAATCCAGTCACCCCTGGAAAGCCCCACCTATGAGTGCATGAGGCTTTGGAGGGACATCTAGATACAAGTCATAACATCTATCATTTCTGATCTGATCTTTAGTTTTAAGGCCTTTAGAGGCAATTTCCTATCAAAATCTGAGGAGAGATCACCATCACCATTCATTTTAAGACAGTACAAGAGACCAGGCCTAATGAGAGTTTTAGGAAATATCATAGGAAGAGATAAAACAGTTTCATTAAAGAAAGACTGATATGGGCTGGGGATTTAGCTCAGTGGTTTCACTGCCTGCTATGCAAGCGCAAAGACCCGAGTTAGATTCCTGGTACCAAAAAAAAAAAAAGACTGATAATTCTGGAAAAATGACAAAATCAATAGTCACAATTGTAGAACAATATTTCAGCACATTTTCCAATTACGTGATCAACTTACAAAATCAATAGAATTCCTCAACACTGGTAATAGACATACAATAAGATAAGAACCTCTCAATAATTGTTTCTAATAATGTATCTAGGAATTAACTAAGAAAATGAAGACCTTTGGAGAAAACTTCAAAGATTTTTTAAATAAGGAGGGGAAGCAGAGGGGGGTGTGTGTGTGAAAAAAAGCAGCAAGATATATCATGTACAGACACAAATTGCATATGATGAACGATGTCATCATGTATATCTAAAGTATACCAATAAATGTTTTGTTTCAAAAAGTAAAAAATAAAAATAAAGGTATTTGATCCAAGTGTGGTGGCATACACTTGTACTCCCAGCATTCTGTGAGGCTGAGGTAGGAGGATTGCAAGTTCAAGACCAGTCCAGGCAGTCTAGCAACTTAGTGAAACTGTCTCAAAATAAAAAATAAAAAAAGGACTGGGGATGTAGTTCAGTTTGAAGGCTTTAGGTTCAATCCCCAGTGCCACAAAATAGAATAAAAGGGATTAGGGGTCATAAAATAAGAAGTTTAAAAGAACTGAAATGTTGCAAAGTATGTTTTCCAAATATAGTGGAATGAAATTAGAAAATAATAGCAAAAGAAAATTTTAAAAACACAAGATTTTGGGGAGAGATTTTATAATTAAACCATAATAGAATAATTACAAGCTCTGAGTAATTAGAAAATAAAAACATAAGGAGCTCAGTGGTGTAATGTACCTGGGTTCCATCTCCAGGACCCCCCCCCCCCAAAAGTAGATTACTCTTAAAGCCATGGTCTATCTCTATAAAAAAAATTTAAAATAATTTTGAGAAGAGAGAGTTTTAGAACCCAGGCCTGGTGGCACATGTCTGTAATCCCAGCACTTGGTCCCACCCCTTGGGAGGCTGAGCCAGGAGGATGGCAGTGAGTTCAAGGCCTAAGCTATATAGTGAGTTCAAGGCCAGTCTGAGCTACATATCGAGACTCTGTCTCAAAACAACAACAACAAAAAAAAAAAAAAGAGAGAGAGAGAGAGTTTTAGAGTCTCAATGACCTTCTCACGGCTTGGAGGACTTTCCCCATGAAGAACTACAGGGTTGGTTATATAATACTGAATTGTACTTGGAAAAAACCTCTAATTTTATTTTATATTTGTACTGAAATCAAAGTAACACTAGGCTAGGGATGAGGTTCAGCAGCACTGTGCTTGCCTGGCAAATGCAAGTTCCTGAATTCAATCCCCAATGCCAGAAAAACAAAAACACACACACAAAAAATAATACCCAACAATAACAACAACAAAATAAAACAAGTAACACTAACCTACATAGTTGGGTTAAAAATCAGACAAAGGAAAGAAAAGTCATATAGAAGAGGCAAGAAAATCTCTTTTCCAAATGATCTGACATTTGTTAATACTTTGCTCAGAGTCCATACTCTTAAGTGAAATAAATTGGACACACGTGTTTAAATATCACATTGTTTCTCTGGTGTGAGAAACTGAAAGTGGAAATAAGGACCAAAATGTATAACAGATACTGGAAAACAGGAAAAAAATAATGTTCAAATAGAAAAGGGAACAAGAGAGAGGAGAGGGGAAAAGGAAGGAAGAGACAAGAAAAAAAACCAAAATGGAAACAAAGCTTTTGTAAATAAGGAGGGGAAGAGGGGTTGAAGGGAGGGAAGGTGATGGGGAAAAAAGAATCAAGATACATTATGTACAGCTACAAATTCCCGCTGATGAATGTGATCATCATGTGTAACTAAAATATACCAATAAAATTAATTTTAAAACACTTTGGTCAGAGAAATAAATGCAAAGTCTACCTAGTGGGGAGGCTCTGGAATGCTGGGCTATCTCTGAGACTGCAGGGAGCAGAGCCTTGGCTCATTATACTGGGTGTGCAGGTTTGCCCAGGAGGTGGACCTACAGCTGGACCATGAAAGGTGCTGAGAGAGACAGTCTGCCCTTCTAGCTGGGACCTTGCATGTGAAAGATACTGACACAGACAGCTGAAGGAACAGCTAGAAACCTCACACTCACCAGGAAAACTGTACAGTTCTATGATTTGAATTATGTCATAGGTGTTAGGAAATAGAGCAGGGACAGAGGCCATCAGCCTCTCCAGCTGAGGATCTTGCACTTGGAAATCAATCTCAGGGCTCTCTGTGAAGACAAAGTCCTCTGAACAGTCAGAAGGGCTCATGGGCTGATATGGAGGGGAGCTATGGAGATTTAAAACTGTAGGAAAAAAAGAGTAAGGGTTGGTGGACATTCTGAGTGAGGAGGGCATATTCCTCTTGGCTGGAAGGATCTGGCTGGACTGCTGTAGTGACTGCTGTTGCTGCTTCTGCTGCTTCCTCTGTTTGAACCGCCTGTTCCTGAACCAGACCTAGAGTGGAGGGAGAGAGACATTGTAGTCTGTCAACACAGAGGCATTTGAGGCTTCTTTGGGGAGAAAACAATTGGATTACAACCCTCATGTCCTCTTCAAGTTACAGCACTGGATTCTGAGACAGTGGAATGGGGCACAAGTGGAGTCAGCAGGAGAGATAATGAGGATAGGGTCTGGAGTCCCAGAGAAGACAGGATAAAAGGGCCTGTGTCTCATAGGTTGTGCTGGGGATTCAGGGAAAGATCTATGAACTCTAGAGAAGGGCTTGGGGATCTAGAGAGAAATGAGGAATTTGAACTAGGGTTTTCAGCACTGGGGATTGAGCTTAGGGCTTTCACACTGAACTACATCCCCAGGACCCCTAAACCTTTTTGAGACAGGTTTCACTAAGTGACTAAGTTGTCTGGATTGGGTTTAAATTTGTGATCCTTCCGTCTCGACCTTCTAGAGTATTGGGATAATAGGGGTGTGCCACCGCCCCCAGCTTGAAATAATTGATTCTTGAGGGTTATTTCAGGAAGCCTCCATTATGAAGGCTACTCCACCAAAAATGTTATGGGCCTGGCAGACCCAGAGGTCACAGGGAGGAAGTCACTTTTCTGTTCGTACTGTTGTGAATGAACAAACTGCAACGTTTGCTGGAGAAGGGTTAAGAATAAGACTTCTAGCTGGGTTGAATGGCACACAATTAATAGTCTCAGCTATTCAGGAGGCTGAAGCAGGAGGATCTCACATTCCAGGCAAGCTTGCGCAATTTAGCTAGACTTTGTTTCAAAATAATAGTTTTTAAAATGTTCTGGAAGAAAGGTCAAGAAACAAAAGAGAATCGAAGGGAAAATGGAAACAAAGCTTTTGTAAATAAGGAAGGCAAGAGGAGTTGAAAGGAGAGGGGAATGGGGAAAAAAGAAGCAGCACAATATATAATGTACAGGTACAAATTCCCTATGATGAATGATATCATTACGTATATCTAAAATGTACCAATAAATGTTTTGCTTCAAAAACAGACTGTTCTGGGAATGTAGCTCAGCACATCTGGGTTCAATCTCCAGTCCCCTTCCCCGCCCCCCCCCAAATATTCCTGCAGTTTCAATTTTAGTTACACTACTTGCTACCTCTGTCACCCACTCACTTTGTCTCTGAGCCTCAATTTTCCTCTTTCAAACTGCATAACAGTAAGATAAACATGAGTGCTATGCCCAGTCCAATGCCAGTTCAATAGGTACATGATAAAGACCCTGTTATTACTGTGTTAGGAAGGAATTTCTAGTCTGAATGGTTTCATGTGGTTTGGGGCACCCTGTACACCTCAGGATCAGACCTTTATTGTTTTCTCCTGTAGGTTGAGTCTCGCAGCCAGGTCTTTCTGGAGGTTCTTATCTGGGAATGAAGTCTGGCTAAACAGAGCCTCCAGCTCTTTATGCTGCTTGTGAGTGAATGAGGTGCGTCCTTGATGTTTCTTCCTAATGGCTATAAGGAAGAGATGGGGGTGGTTACTCATGCTACCAGTTACCCTATCTCAATAAAACAAAAGAAAACAACAATCATACCCCCAAACCATAGCTGTGAGTCTTCCCTGGCCCCCTTTCAACCACACTCAGAATTCAGAGGACAGAGACCCCAGGTCTCAGCTCCCTGTAAGAGTGCTCTGCCATCTTCTCTCGCTTATTCAGGAACCCAGTCCATCTCCCCTGGCAAATGTGGTTTATCTCTTTGAGGATTTCTAAGACTGTATTTACTCTTGTGGGAAAATGGGCATAAGAAATGAAACATAACTAAATATGTGAAGACTGAGAAACATACAGTGTTTTTCGTCGGTACCAGGGATTGAACTCAGGACCTTGCACTTGCAAGGCAGGCTGTGGGGCCACTGAGCTAAATAAATCCCTGGTCCAACATATAGAATTTTTTAAATGGCAACAGGGAAGAAAATGAATGGTGTTTCTAAAGAAAACTATTTCTAAAGAAACACCATTACCAAAATTAGCTAAAAAGGAAATACAGACTGTGAATAACCATACAAACATAGGAACATTATAGAATGCAAGGCAATGCTGTGCTAGCTTTCCTATTATATAATCCCTTTCATTATTTATTTATTTATTGGTACCAGAGATCGAACGCAGGACCTTGCACTTTGGAGGCAGGCAGTGGAACTACTGAGCTAAATCCCCGGCCCTATATAATCCATTTTAACAAAAGAAAAGATCTTGGGCCTGGAATTTAACTTAGTGGCACTGCACATGCCTTGCAAGTGCAAGGTCCTGAATTCGACCCCCAATACCAGAAAAAAAAAAAAAAAAAAAAAAAAAAAAGGAAAAATCTTCACTTAGCCTTACAACTACAACCAGTAAGAATAAACAGTACAAGAAAGAAAATATAGGCTATGCCACTTAAGAACATA